GGGCACAGGAAACATCTCAGATGGCTTTCCAGATCCAGCCAAGGTAACTCTTAGCATGTTCACTGTCCCCAAAAAGCCTTTTAATTCTGCTGTTATTGTGTATTCTTAACATACTCTTTCTGACTTTGAACACCACCCTATCAAGAAGCTTGTGAAAAGACATCATTATTTTATGATCACTCCTGTTTGAAGGTCCATCATAGTTGCACAGCATATGCAACTCCCCACAGTTCCAGGACAGCCACTAAAACCTCTGCCTGAAGACTCCAAACTAGCAGAGTTAATATAATCAGCTTTAACCTTAGTTGATTAATCTCAAAACATTCTACAGGGTCAGGGCAGCTTCCAAGCTCATTTATTCCAAAGGAGCCACATGCACCTTAGGAACCACTCTGTGCCAAGATATTCTCTTTCCTCTTGGCAATTGCTCTGCTGAGTTCACAGAGACAGGTAACTATGCAAGAGATTCAGACCTATACCTAGCCTGTTTTACCTTGAAATAATCCCCAAAGGACCAGGACCCCAACATCTCAAAGAAGGTGTGGTGGTAGACATCTTTTCCGACGTCATCCAGGTCATTGTGCTTGCCCCCTGCTCGAATGCACTTCTGAGTGTTGGTAGCTCTGTTCAGTTTAGCGAGTGGGTGCGAGGGGTCAATAGTATTGAGGAAGATGGGTTTGAACTGAGAGGAAAGAAAAAAGAGCAATCAAGAAAAGCACTAAGAGCCTGTTTTCAAACGTTGCAAGCAACAGCAAGGCAGTAAGTGTCATCTACATCACAATACTGCTAGCCTGGATGTACCTGAGGCAGCTTTCAGAAACAACAAGCCTGCTGTCTCCTGCCTGTGAGGAGGCTGCAGCACTGCCTATAACTTAGCACTCCCACACACACATGTGTTCCTGGAGCCCACCAAACCCCAGGACTTCCAAAGGGACTGAAAGTAGCCAGATTCCCAGCTGACAAAAAAAAACCCAACCAAACAACCTAGCTGTGGTACAAAGGATCAAGGAAGGGAGACTGGCAGTGCTCCTGTAGCTGCACAGTCAGCCCAGCAGACACGGGAACCTCTTCCAGTGCTCTTGCCAATTTTGCAAGAGCAGAGAAGTCTCCAGCAGACACACCAACCACCTCTTTGTGACCAGAAGGAAGACGGAGAAAACAACAATAATTTTCCACACAAACAGCTCTGCAAAGAGCTTCACAGGTTTCAGCTGCTACAGGATATGTTCATAAGGACCGCAGTACCAGAGTGGGAATCCTACCTGATTCATACCAGCATTGGCAAAGAGCAGTGTGGGGTCATCAAGGGGGATTGTAGAAGATGAGTGCACATAGGTATGCTTGTTTTCCTTGAAGAAGTCGATAAACCGTTGCCGGATCTGGCTAGCTGTTAGCGTAGCTTCCATCTTGAAGCTGCAAGTCACAGCTGTCCAAAGCAATCAGAAGGGAAAGTGGCAAGGCCTTGGTGCAGTCTGAAGAAACAAGAAACAAGGCTCTTGCATGTTGTCAGCTCAAGCAATAACATCAGGATCATTGCCTCCATCTCCTGAAAAGGTCTCCCCACAATGATAAGTACTCTCACTGACTCTTCAGTTCAACTACCACTGTGCCCCAAATAGTGCTGGCCCAACCCCAAACTTCCTCTCCCCCAACCTCTCTGATTTCTTGAGCTCTACCTCAAGTTATGTGTTCCTTGAAAACACATGGTTTTAAAATACCAAGTTCACCTGGATACTGAACTTACTAAGGGGCTGTGTTTGCCTTGCTGGAGACATGGGGCAGGGGGGATTGCCAAGTCCTAAAATCATTCAAGGTGATTACATCACAGAATCATAGAACAGCTGAGTTTGGAAATGACCTCTGAATATCACCTCCTCCACCCCCCCGCTCAAAGCAGGGGTAACTCCAGGGATGCCTGGAAACCTTCCCAGAGAAAAAAGGCATCACGATACGCACACCAGAGGCAGGTGACAGTTTGGCGGCGAGCACCTCCTGTACATCCTAATGGGTACCTAAAGCTGTCCCCTGCCAATGGAGCGCAATGCGGTTCTCTGGAAGGCCAAGCTCCCAGCAACCTGCTGCGGCACAGAGGGACGATAACTCCTCATACGACCAAGGCCAGCGAGTCGTTGGAGGGAAGGAAGGACTCGAGGAGGGAAGGTCTCGGCGCAGCGGCGGCTCCAGGGCAGAGCAGGGCCTCTGCCCTGACACCACCCGGTCTCAAGAGCCCAAGGAGAGGCGAGGGCACAGCGGGTGCCCGGCAGACCTGCGGACAGCCGCCGTAGGGCCGGCACACAGGCATCCCCCCCGCGGCCCGCCACCCTCCCGCCCCTCACCGCTGCCCGCCCCGGCCGCCTGCCCTGCTACGCCGTCTCCCCTCGGTCCGCGGGACCCAGCCGGGCCAGAGGAGGCGGCCGGGCCGTGGAGGCAATCCCCCAAGGCCGGTGACCCCCAGCAACGCCTCAGGCCCCAGCAGAAGCCCGGCACACCCTACCTCCCCGGCCGCTGCCGCCCCTCACTCCGCAGCGCCGACAGCACCGCAGCGCCC